ACTTCAGGAGCATGTCCCTATCAGAAGATGAGCAAACACCTTCCATCCTGTTTTTCTCATACGTTCCACAAATCCATCCACTTAATCCATTATCTGGCTGCCAAGTTGGCAATACTATCTTGAGTATAACTCTAAGCATTAAAAAAATGTTTTTCTTACATCTGGGAACCTATCCTTTATCAGAAGCAGATGGGAAAGAAAAAAATGAAATAATTTCTTCAACAAATTAATAGAATTGAATTGAATTAAATTAAATTAAATTGAATTGAATTCTTTTTTTTTTATTGAAAAAGTTTTCAAATACAAATTTTTCCCCCATTTTTCTCCCCCCCCCCCCCCTTACCCCCCCTCACCACCCATCCCCCCCCTGTGACTTCTTCACAACAAGAACCTAATTCATAACAGATTATATAATATTTTACCGTCCCCTTACTCCCTCCTGTAAGTACTGACCCTTACTTGCCAATAATATTATTAATATTATTACTTCCCCCTTTTACCATACATTTCAAAATGACATTCTACTATAACATTATATAATAACTTCTAATTTAACATAATAATATTATTATAACTTATTATAACAATAATCTGCCCTTTTTCTCCTCCCCCATACTTATATCTGTATATTAATACAACATTTTAAAACAACCTTCCACTTTAAAACTATATAATAAATCCTACTTTAACATTTGATCTTTTATATATATCAATATATTAATATAACATTTCAAAGCAGTCTTCCCCGTAAATCCTAATTTAACATTTATTCTACTCTAACCATTTCCTCCAGTCCCCTAAATATTTCACTCCCTTTTAAACTACACAATCAGTAAACTAACCTAACCCACTTTCCTACAAAATTGCCATGCACAACAATTCTTAATATCTTTAATCTACTACCCGCCTTACTAAAAAAAAATATTCCGTTATATAAAAAAAAATCAATAACTTTAAATTTATAGTCCATATAATATCTTCTGTGATGTTTTTCCACTGGATTGTTGAGTCCATCAACCATATTAGGGTAACATAGCATCCTGGTTGCAACAGATTGTTCAAAATCCTCAGTTATCCTCTGCCCCCATCAGTAATGTATATCCTCATATATATATAAAAAAGGAAAACCACCCGAGTGACATTATAATTATATTCCATATAATATCTGTGATTGTGGCTTTCTTCAGGATTATTAATTCCCGTCATCATAATGGGTGACAACCAGATCTTCTGCGCGCCCCAGCATAGCTCTCTTGCCTTATAGCACAACATAAATATAATACATTTATCAATAAAAAAAGAAATCCAGAATAGATAATTCCAGTCCAACAATTTAAGGCTCTTTTCACATCCCAAAATTATGGCATTGCAGAAGTCTGTCACTCTCCTCAGGATAATGTTAACCAATACTTCGCCTCAACTATCTTTTCATATATTCATTCGTTTTTTTTCAAAGTAACTGGCTTCACTGTTGCTTAATTTAGAAATTTTTATTTTTGTGAGACCTATTTCTTCTTTTCTTTTCTTTTTGTGGGTTTGATCTCCATCCTAATTTCCTTTCTACAAGTTGTATATCAACTGATCGGTTTTCATTCTGCTTTATAACTTGATCTTGTTGGTTTTGCTTTTGTAACTCATATTTCTTTTCTATCACTTGTGTATCAGCTAATTGATTTCCATGCTTGTCTGTGACTTGATGAATCATCACCTTAGAATCCGATGCCACTTCTCTCTTATTTGTAGATAATCCAGCTGAGGTGTCTAAAAAATCCAAAGGCAATTTGTCTACAGAGGCCTCTATAATTCAATGTTTTCCCTTTATTTCCAACTCCTTCTGCTTATCCTGGGTTGTGCATAAAGATGTTGAGTTCATTTTCAAAATTTTTTGATAAAATTCTTCCGCTTTTTCAACGGTATTTAATTGGTATCTTTCTCCTTGATATCTCAATATTATACCAACTGGAGCATCCCACCTGAATAGAATATTCCTATTTTTAAGCTCATTCACTAGAAAACCAAATTTCTTTCTTTCCAATAACATCTTGGGTGGGAGCTCTTTGTATATCCAAATCTTTCTTCCAAACAATTGCAAAGTAGAGTTGAAAGAATTTTGCACAATATTATTCCTTATTTCTTTATCTGTAAAATAAATCACCACATCTCTAGGCAATTGCCTTTGCTTTGCAGTCCAGGAATTTATTCTATAAACTCTATCGATTCTACAAAATACTTCCTCAGGTTGAACCTTTAAGATCCCAGCCAGAATTTCAGAAGATATTTTCCTTAAATCAACTCTGTTATTTTCCTGTAATCCTCTCAGTCTAATCGCATATTCAGTAAAATTATATTGCATCATTAAAACTTCTCTTTCAATCCGTTGTTGTATGTTTTCTGCATTACAAGTCTTTGGATCAGCCTCCATTTTAGGTTTTTCTTCTGAGCTATTGTCTTGAGTGTTTGTCAAATCATTTTCAATTTTTTGTATTCTATTGTCCAGATTGTCCTCAATTTCTTCCATTTTAGACTCTAATAAATTAGTATTTGCATCCAACTTGATCATAAATTCTGTAAAACCATTAGCCATTTTTATAATCTTTTGTTGCAAAGTATCAAACTTTAATTGCACCAATTCTTTAATTTCCTGCTTAAATTTTTCAAAGTTCTGATTCACAATCTCATCCCTTCTTACAATCTCCTCCAAGAGAAATTCAATTATGTTAAAATCAGTTTTCTGAGACTGGAGATTTAGAACTTGTTCATGTAATTTATTGATGGGGGAATCCCCCCCCACTGCTTGTTTGTCCAGCTTTGTAAGCCTAAACGCCATATTTCCACACTGGCAAACTTTTTTAGAAAAGAAAAGAAAAGCAAAATAAAGAGAAAAAAGCTTCTTTCCAATCAAGATCAATATTAAATCTCCAGGAAAGAGAAAACACAAAAGTGGAGCTTTATCTTCAATTGTAGCCAGGAGTATTTATTCCGCTACTTTGTATCTTAATAGGAGACGGAAGGACTTTCCCTTTCAGCCCTTTCTCAAGCCTCAGCAGTCGCCATTTTAAAAACTCTTTTTTTTTCTTTCTTCAGTAACTTTTATAAAATAAATGAAAATACTTGCGATTCAGGGTCACAGATCCAACTCTCATCCTCTTTAATTGATCTGTTAGTTTTCTTTAATAGGCTTGTTCTTGTCGCCTAGCTCTGCAAAAAGGCAGAGGTCTCCCAAAGCCCGGAGCGGCAGCAGGGGAAATAGGGAGCCCCATCTGCTTCGTCCCCAAAAGTAAAAAAAAAACCTTTGGGGCTTTGCAGAGAGCTCTACCTACCCCCGCCGGCTCTGTCTCACATTTCCTAATGGAAATGGAGTTTTTCGAGCCGCCTTTCTGATGTAAAGGCGGCTCTTTACAGGCAATGGGGCTGGCGGTCCCGAGGGACCGTCTGGCGGCGATGAGAAGCAAACCGGAAGCCGAATTGAATTCTTTATTGGCCAAGTGTGATTGGACACATAAGGAATTTGTCTTTGGTGTATATGCTCTCAGTGTACATAAGGAGAATAAAATACATTCATCAAGAATAAAAAGATACAAGACTTAGTGATAGTCAAGGTTACTAACAAGCTATCAAATCGTACTAGGAAACAAATAAAAACAATATAATTGAAAGATAGAAGCAACATGGTTATAGTAATAAGTGGGAAGAGATAGATACTAGTAAGGAAGAGAAGAATAATAGTAATACAGTCTTAGTAAATTATTTGACAGTGTTGTGGGAATTAGTTGTTAAGCAGAGTGATGGCATTCAGGGAAAAACTGTCCTTGTGTCTAGTTGTTCTGGTGTGCAGTGCCGTATATCATCTTTTTGAGGGTAGAAGTTGAAACAATTTATGTCCAGGATGTGAGGGGTCTATAGATATTTTCACAGTCCTCTTTTTGACTCATGCAGTATTACAGATCCTCAATGGAAGGCAGGTTGGTAGCAACTGTTTTTTCTGCAGTTCTAATTATCCATTGAAGTCTGTGTCTGTCTTGTTTGGTTGCAGAGCCAAACCAGACAAGTTATGGAGGTGCAGATGACAGACTCAATAATTCCTCTGTAGAACTGAATCAGCAGCTCCTTGGGCAGTTTGAGCTTTCTGAGTTTGCATAGAAAGAACATTCTTTGTTGAGCTTTTTTGATGGTGTTTTTGATATTAGGTGTCCATTTTAAGTCTTGAGATATGATAGAACCTAAGAAACTTGAAGGACGCTATTGTTGATACTGTTGATAGATGATGAGTAGTAACGATTAAGTAATAATAATAATTATTTTATTTTTGTCAGCCTCCTTCATGCTCTCTCATACGTGAAAGAGAGAAAGAAATACTGGCTGGGGAATTCTGGGAGTTGAAGTCCGTACCTCTTAAAGTTGCCAAGTTTGAAAAAGCACTGCTCTAAGTGAATCAGGAGAAAGAGAAGCAAAATAACATCTACTTCTGATGTCATATTTCCTAAAATACTCTTCAAACTGCAGCCGAAGCTGCTTTTGCACCATTACTCAAGCAAAGCGAAGTCAGATATAAATTAAAGACAAAAATTGTAACTCCAAACTGGATGCTAGGTCAGGAAGTTAACCCATTTCAGAGGAAATGGTTACAATCTGCTAAGGGCTTACTTCAAAATGTTTCATGCAATTGCTTTAAATTTAATAAACTGAATTGCTGCAACGAGGCACACATGGGCAAAGAAAAGGTATTTTAATAAAACTTGCAAGACTTCTTTTTATATATGGTTGTTTCTTCACCGATCAGAATGATGTATTTTGATGGCAGAAAGTAACAAGTGGACTTAATCTACTAAATTCTTCTCAAGGACTTGGGGGGGGGGGATATCTACAGTACAGCATGCAGGTATAGCCTCAAACTTAGGAACCAATATTTTTTGAGGCTCTGCTTGACCAGGGAAGCAATCTAAAGGGTTTTGTAGATGACTTTGCCAAGTTTTACAAACACTTTTTTTTGCTTGAAATAGGAAGAATCACATTGAAACAGAGCGGGAAGCTGCCCGAAAATGGCCCAAGCGCTGGGGATTTCTGTTGACCCCACTTGAAGAGGTAACATTTATTTCTGGGTAATATTCATATATGAAGAATTGATATATTTCATGACCTGTGTTGAATAGCAAGCGGGATGCTTAATGCTAGAAGAATGGGATAAGATGTCATTGTATTTTTTTTAAAAGGAATACTCTCTCACAGCCTTGGCAAACGGCCTCAAGGTAGTTGGGGCAATGAGTTAGCAATTGAAATAATTTGTTCTGCAAGAAAATAAAAGGGAGTTGGATTTAACTGCATGACTTCAGTGATAAGACAGGTTGCTTTGTATGCCAATCTTAGCTACATTTGTGTATCATTTGAACATCAAAAGGAGCCTGATAGCAGCATTTCAGATTGATAAATGCTGTTAATAAACTAATAATAAATTTTAATAACATCTGTAAGTGTGATGGAATGTTATCCAGATTCCCAGTGTGGGAACACACTGGAAACATGGAGGCTGATTGGAAAGAGAGTTTAATGATGAACAGAACCACCAAGCACAGGGTTCTGGTGCAGCTGACAAAATGGGGTTGAGAGTGAGGCGTTTTTATACCTTCTTTGAGCTTTGCACTTGAGCTTCCTGTTCCTGTGCAAGAACATGTATTCTATTGGCTGTTGTCAGACTCCCATGGGGCCAAGTAGGGGTTATGTAGGGGTCATAGCTGGCTCTATAGGCAAAGTACAAATCCTAGGTGTTTGTCTGAGCTAAGTTTGGTTGAAGTTTGGACTGTTCTGAAGGTGATTGTGGCTTAATGGCTTTGTCCTGTGTTGGATCTTGAGTGATGGCTGCTTCTAATCCCACCATTCTGCCTTTGTTTCAAAATATCCTGTCTTGAATGAATTACCAAATCTGCATTTCTAAAAGCTAGCCTCAGTATCTGCTGGGGCTATTTAGGAAAGTGGGGGCTGCTTTCTGTCTCTAAAAGCATGTTTCTCCATTTCTCCTTTAGGGAAATATAATATTCTGCCTTTTTAAAATATTGCTCAAAATATTTCATTCTTTTTTGGGGGGGGGCTTCCCACATCAGGAAGGAGGAATTATTCCAGAGGAGCAAGAGCAAATGTACATAGTTTGTGTGAGAGAAAAAGGATGAAGATGGCTCCTCCCTAATAGTTTCCAGAGTATATGTTTCATAGTGCAAATAGTTTGTTTTAGTTTGCCAAGATTTCGGTGTACAGGTAAGAAACAGTAAAGAAATTTGCTTAGAAGAATGGGAACATGTCTTTCTTGGAGTTTGAACCTTGACAGCCGGAAAATGCAGAAACCTTCTGAAATCTGGCTAACTTTGACTAACATGCTGTCCTCCTTCAGTGGCATGTATTACTTGGAAGTTATGGAAAGTACTGTTTGCAGTATATATTGTCCTTCCTAATCTGATGCCTTCCAGATATGGTGGATTTCAGCTTCCAGAATTCCCCAGGCCTAAGTTTTTTGCTTTGTCTAAGTACTGTTTCAAAACTCTATATAAAACATTCTGTGGGCGTGGCTTAATTAGTGGGCGTGGCTTGGTGGTAAGGTGACTGGGAGGGCATGGCTTGTTGGTAAGGTGGGCATGGCCAAGTCAATGTCACTTCTTTGCCCTTTTTTAACCTACAAAACACAACACAACACAACTGGCTCACCCACAATATAAAAGCAGCTGTGCTAGACCCAAAATGGCCCCTGCAACAAGCAGGAACCTCACACAGCCACAAAAAGCCACAAAAACAACTTTCACACTTTACACACACACAACACAACACAACACACACAAAACACAACACACAACTGGCTCACCCACAGTGTAAAAGCAGCTGTGCTAGACCCAAAATGGCCCCTGCAACAAGCAGGAACCTCATACAGCCACAAAAAGCCCAAAAAACCAACTTTCACACTTTACACACACAAAATTCCACATACAGTTTTGTGAGATTTTGTGTGTTTGTGTAGCTAGAGTGAAACACTACAGAAATACACTAAATCTCAGAAAGCTGCACAAATATTATTTTATTTTTATTTATTTTTATTTTTATATAAAAGCAGCTAAATTTAAAACTTCCTAAACTTTAAATGGCTAGGTCTAAAAAAAGAACAACTAAAAAAACCCCCAATTAACTATTTTTTAAAGCTCCCAAAGGAGAAAAAACTTACCCAATAGAACAGGGGTCTCCAACCTTGGCAACTTTAAGACTTGTAGACTTCAACTCCCAGAATTCCTCAGCCAGCTTTGCTTTCGTGGCTGAGGAATTCTGGGAGTTGAAGTCCACAACTCCCTGCCTGCTTGATTGCAGGCAGGGAGATTCAGTTGCTTGCTGATGCAATCGATTGCAGGGACTACAGCAAGGGGTTGCAACCAGCAGCTAAGGTAAGCAAGCTGAGAGGGGGAGGGGGAGGGATCGTCAGAGCCATTTAAAAAGAAAAAAGTTTTTTTCTTTTACATGGCTCTGGCGATCCAAGCTGAGTTGCCTGATTAGCAGGCAACTCAGCTGGGATCCTCAGAGTTTGGCTGGTCAGAGCCATTTAAAAGAAAAAAAAAGGCTCTGATGATCGCGCGGCTCAGCTGGGCATGGGGGGCGGGGGCAGGGATTTTTGCTACCGGTTCTCCGAACTGCCCGCCACCATCGCTACCTACTCGCCCGAGCCGGTCCGAACCAGGAGCATTTCACCTCTGCTTAAGAACATTACAAGACTTATTTTGAAGGTGTAAATTATCAATAAAGGAGAATATTTGTAGCTCAGGATTGAAATGAGGGGTCCTTAGTGCTCTCTGGGCTTCCTTGTTTTCTTGCAGCTATTTCATTACCCTAACTATGTAACATAATCAGTGCTAGTAAGGAGTGCTGTTTGCTGTCAGTTTATATTTTGGTGTCTTCCCTGTCTGTGTGGGTATGGGTGATCTTAGAGATTCTTTGATTGGGCTGTTTATTGATGGCTCCTTAGCAGTTTCTTGATTGGGGTATTGCTTATTTCAGTGGTGGGTTGCCCCCGGTTCAGACCAGTTCGCAAGAACCGGTAGTAAAACCGGTGGGAGGCTCCACCCACCACCCCGGATGTCATCATCAGCGAACTGCACATGCGCAGAAGCAAGGTGCGCCCGAGAGCAAAGCAAGGGTGCACATGCGACCCCGTTGCGAACCGGTAGTATAGGTAAATCGAACCCACTCCTGGCTTATTTGATTGTTGGTCTGAAGTTAACCTTAGAGTTAATCTATGCTTATCTGGGTGCTGATTATTGGTGGAGAGGACCACCTTTTTCTATTTTAGGCTGGTAGATTGTCTCTTTTGCATAGTCTATAGACGTTGTTAATGTCTATGTCTCTATTAATGGCTGATTTGTCAGAGTGCCAGGCTTCTAGAAATTCCCTGGCATTTTTCGACTTGGCCTGATCTAAGGTTGTCACATTTTCCCAATTGAAACTATGGTTAAATCTGTCTATATGTTGTGAAATTAAAGAATTTTAAAGTGTAATATAATAACAACAACAATATCTAAGTATGTTAGATACGTACCAGTGAGGCATTTTGTACTAGCTTAGCCATATTTTATGGAATAATCCAAAATTCATGGATTGATACTACACACAATATCACAAATCTTAATTTACCAACCATTATTGCTGAGTTCAGGGACATTCATAGGTGTCAAATGTCAGAGTCAAGCAGGCAATCAAAGATATACTTAAAAGAACATGCATTGCACAATTTTTTTAAAAAGTGGGTCTTGAGTATACTGATTACTTCTGCCATTTTGATGCTGTTGGGCCCCCTGCGAACATCGCTGGCTAGATTGCCATAACATTCTCCATGAAACCAATCATATTTCTCAGTCTGCTAGCTGTAATCTTATTCTCATTTCCCTGAGAGAAAATCCAACTGAAATATGAGTAATCCTCAAGTTATGACCATAATGCAGCCTGCCCGTCATGGTTGTAACTCATGATGGTTATAAAGCAGGTCCCTTAGATGACCAACCTGATTCTATGACCTTTTTGCTGTAATCATTAAGTGAACACAGAGGTCATTATCCCAAAGGTGCTTTTTCAAGAGGCAACTGGACTTTATTTTTTTTGAAGACGTTTCGCTTCTCATCTTCGGCTGAAGAAAAAGCTTCTTGGATGAGAAGTGAAACATCTTCAAGGAGGAACAAAGAAAGTCCAGTTGTGTCTTGAAAAAGCACCTTTGGGACAACCATGACCTGGATGACTGAGAATCTCCATAGTCAATGGAGGAGATGAATTAGCATACAGGGAAGATGTCCAGAAGTTATCCACATGGTGCTCAGTAAACAACTTGCACGTAAACACCAGCAAGTCAAAGAAGATGGTGCTAGACTTCCGGAAGCAGAGAGAGGAACCTGCTCCACTTCACATCAAGGGGGGGAGACATGTGTAGAGTGTCTCCTCTTTCAAATTCCTAGGAGTCCACCTTAGCCAAAATGTCACCTGGAAAAATAACATGCTCCAGGTGGTCAGGAAGGCTCAACAGAGACTCCACTTCCTTAGGGTCTTGTGGAAGAATCAGGTGGAACAACGACTGATTACTTCCTTTTACCGGACTACAATAGAAAGCGTCCTCACATATTGTGTGACGGTATGGTATCCTGGCCTGGCAGCCCCTGACAGAAAGGCATTACAGAAGGTGATGAGCACGGCACAAAAAATCATGGGCTGCCCCCTGTCCTCACTGGACGAAATCGCCAGGACACGCTGCCTCAGCAGAGTGAGGAAAATCCTCATGGATGATTCACGCCCTGGTCAGCACTTCTTTACTCTTCTACCGCCGGGCAGGAGATCTAGAAGCATAGCCAGCCGAACAAATAGGCTGAAAAATAGCTTTTATCCGTGGGCCATCGGACTTCTGAATGCAACATAACATCATAATTAGGTTTAATACGATAGACTTGGCAGGGCCAGTAATATAATAATGTAATATAGTATGATGTTATATACATATATGTATATGGGAATGTGTGTTAGTTATTACTTATTTGGGTTCAGGGATTTTCTTTTCTTTTATTTGAGTTTACTCTGAGTTATTGAGATGTATTCTGTGTTTTGGGAGGGGGCTGCACCAAGGAAACATTGTACACATGTTTTGCATTGACAGTAAATGTTTGATTTGATTTGATTTGATTATGTGCATTAATGTTTCACTATGGATGGAGTTTTGCCGAAAACCAGAAGCAAATGCAGAAGCAAATGCAAAACCATTGCAAAACATGTCAGTCATGTGACCACGGGATGCTGCAAATAGCTGTAAATATGGCCTGGTTGACAAGAATACGAAATGTGGTCATGTGACCAGGGGAGGAAGTAACTGTTGGAATTTCAAATCTGGGTCATAAGGTACCTGTCAGAAATTCGAATGGTCACTACTGTATCTGACCATTTGTAAGTCAAGAACTACCTATAAAGATGTATAGTATAGTGTAAGTTACATTACTTTAAGCTGTATTACATTATTTAAATCTGTCCTCCAGATTTTATTGCTAGCTTTAAAATGAGAACTTGTTTTTTTCATATGAAAGATGAATTTTAACAACATCCAAAGGTACATAATAAATATCCTTGTATATATCAGAGTGCCAAGTGCTAGGTCTTCAGGTACTGCTCGGATAGATATAAATATCTAGATGGATATGAACTATTACGTTACCACAAAGCATGACTCAGCCTGGAGTGCCAATTTATTTTATTACATTTTTCTATTTTTAGTTGGTAAAAGATGAAAAGAAACAACTTGCTAAGCCGAAGATCCCGCTTCCACAACACTTACAGATCCGACCTGTGACACCAGTGGAAAACTATATTAAGGTTAGATATTTGTGAAGTAGTTTCAAATGACAGCACATTTGTAAAAAAAATAATAATAATAATAATAACAGTACTTTTTCAGAGGCCATCTTAAATTTGAAAGTAAAGGTTGAGATCCTAAGAACAAGTTTTAAAACACTCAAGATAGGAAAAACTGCATTTGGTGTTCTGATTATTGGAGATTTCATTGCACAGCTTTAGATGATGCAAAGAAGTTATTGTGCTCTAAGATATAATGTTTTATGTATCATGGCTTACTGACCTCATCATGTTAGAAAAAAGATCAGAGGGTGAGAGTCCTTGTCTGTTTCAGCTGCTTTTTTCAGATCTGTTTAAACCAGGAGTCCCCAAAATCTTCAGTTCATCAGTGTAACAGTAGCTCATTGGGAAAATCTGCAAGAAATACACCACTTCCCTGCAAGCAAGAACTGGTGAGAGCACAAAATAGACAAAGTAATAGAAAAGGAACAAGATATTCCCCCCCCCCAAGCTTTCATGCATTCCTCACTTTAACATTGCATTTCATAGACCAGCAATTCCAACGCCTTCCAAATGTGTTGGATTCTGACTTCCAGAATTTCTAGTGTTAGCATGTTTTTTTTAAGACAGAGTGGGAATGTTTTTTGAAGTTATTTATCTCAAAATTATGGGAGCTGCACGCTGGGAGAACACCAGTGGTGGTATTCTGCTGGTTTTATCCGGTTCGGGCAAAACCGGTAGCGGCTGCTATGGGAGGCTCCGCCCACCCACCCGGACATCATCATGTCCCGTTTTTGACCCTCTGCATATGCTCACATTTGCAAAGGTAAGTGAATAGCATCCCTGGAGAGCACCATTTTGGGAAAGACCGATCTAGATTTATTACAATTTTTTTATTACAGCTTTTTATGAAAAGTGATCATATATTTTATAAACTAAAGCAATCCCATCAGGTTTTCTGAGGAATAGTTCCCCAGGCTCAAGCAAAAAAAAGAAAAGAAAAGAAAAAAAGCTTTCTATCTGTAGAGATTCATTGTGTTTTATTGCACCACTGTGTTTACAACGAGGGAATTCCAGAGAACCAGAAAAGAAGGCCTGCGGGCACATTCATGTTTCCCAAAAGGATAGGAAACCTGCCTGCCATTCTTTGCCCTTCGTTGCATCTGCAGTTTGCTTCTTTGGTATCACATGTGCGCTTGGCAGTCTGTAAATAAAGAGATCTGGACCTCAGCTTTTCTGTGCATCGTTTGCAAGAAATAGCTTGCTCATCAAAAAAAAAAAAAGCTAAACAAAAGAAAACAAAAAAAACCACATGGATTTGGAGATTAGATGGAGGACAATACGATCCGTTTAAACAGCTGCGGCTTGCCATCGTAATTTATTTTCTCTTATGAGCATGAAAAGCTGCATCTATCCCTTCCCCTGGATGGTCTAGGCAAAACATGCTTCAGCCCCTTTGTGCTTCCTCGGATGTAGAGCAGCGTGGAGGCACGCAGACATAATTGCCTCCATTGTTCCCCTCTGTGGGTGGCGCGCGTGGCCACGAGGAGGACAAGAAAGACGAGGCCGTCCTTTCAAAGGGAAATGCTCCACCTTGAATATCACCGACATTTTCTTAGCTTTGGCTCGGGAACAAAGCCAAAAGGGCCTTGGCAACAGAACAAACCAAAACATTGCTGTCTTTCGCGGTGGATTGCTGAGCAGGGTAAGTCCCCAGATGTTAAAAGTGTTACAGGAGAGAGGACATTCCACATGCATTATGGAAGTAATTCAACCCAACAAGCACAGCAAGCGGGGGCTGAGATGAAGAAGGCTCTTCAATCTTTATTCCGTGCCTCCTTTTCCTCCCACACCCTCCTCTAGATTATCCATTAACCCCTTTCATGTTTGCTAAAATTGAGGGATCGGCACATTTCCCCAGCTGATGTGCTCCAGGTGTGTTCGACTGATGAAGCACAAACTCCCCAGAGTTTGCCATGCCGTTGAGGAAGAGCCTCTGCTCACTGGCACCTCAACATGGCCCAAACGTTGCCTGATAACATCATTTTTCTGTGGTCTGTAATCGCTAGGCACCATCTCAAACTCTGCCCCAAGAATGAGAAAGGCTAAAGTCATCTTTAGGAGCTGTGGTGGCTCAGTAGTTAGAATGCACTATTGCAGGCTAACTCTGCTGACTGCCAGCATATTGATCCTGACTGGTTCAAGGTTGACTCAGCTTTCCATCCTTTCCCAGGTCAGTAAAATGAGGACCCAGATTGTTGGGGGCAATATGCTGACTCTGTAAACTGCTTAGAGAGGGCTGTAAAGCATTGTGAAGCAGTATATAAGTCTAGTGCTAGCTGAATCCCAGGAAATGTCGTGTTTCTCCCATCAAACTTAGAGCATCCAATAGCCACCACAAAGTATGTAAAATCTTTTGTGCTTATTTTATTTTGGAGCATTGTCTGATTATCAGTAATGTAGTACTTATTGGCAAGGTGACCAATTGTGGTTATGCAGTAGCCTCCCCTTTGGTCCTTGGTCAGCCTTTGTTGCCGCTATGGTAATAGTCCTAAAGAGTTGGATCCAGCAACAGTTTGCCAGTGGCATGTCAAAATTGCATAAATAGTGCTAGACTCCCTTGGACAATGGTTGTATAAATGCTTTAATTCCATGGTCTTTGTCAGGTTAGCGCAAGGCTGAAATAGAATTGTGTAACAATGAAACAGTTGAAATGGTTAAACCATTGGAAAATAACTATAGGCTGCTTTTCATTCAGTGGTCAATCAGCCAATCTTTATATCCCAATTAAAGCAAGCACATACACCACTCAGTTAGACTAGCAAAAAATACCAATAAAGGAGAGCACTGATAATATTACCGTGTTTCCCCAAAAATATGACCTACCCTGAAAATAAGTCCTAGCTTGATTTTTACACCACCCAATATAAGTCCTACCCCCCAAAATAAGGCCTAATCAAGATCCCACCCACTCCAGGGTGCACAGGTAAAAATTAAGATAGGGTGGGGATGAGGGGGGGTGGAGCTGCCCTACTACTTACCTTTGGACAGTTGCAGCCAGGCCTCACACACCCGACACTTGTCTTGCCAGCTGATAACAGAGCTCCGGATCAATCTGGAGCTCTGTTATCGGCTCCAGAGGCCTTCAGGAAAGCCTTGCCAGCCTTGCCGGCTGCAGAAGAAGTTCCTGAAGGCCTCTGACAGCGAAAAGGAGACCGGGGGGCGACATGCGCAAGTGAGGCAAGTCAGTGGATGACACACACACACCAAAAATAAGACCTGGTGCCTTTTTTGGTGGCAAAAAAATATAAAACAGGGTCTTATTTTCGGGGAAACATGGGTACGTACTTGGGTAATGAAATAATCCCTGCTCTATTCTGTACTGTTAAAGAAACAATTTGATGGACAGGGAGGATGTAGGGGAATAGAGGCTAAAACATATGAAGAACAGTTGCAGGAACTAGGTATCAGTGGTGGGTTGCCCCCACCATATTAGGATATGGTTTGAGCCTAACAAGTTGTCCAGGCAATATATGTGTTCTGTGACTTTAATATGAATATGTATTGTGTGACTTTAAAGTTTTACTGCTGATTCATTGTAATGCTGAGTCATGCTGTAATTAGATAATCACTGGTTGTGAACGTATTTAAGAAAGGTACTGTAACATATTCAGTTGATGATAAGCTACCATTGTGCTATCATCGTTGGATGGATCTGCTACCATCGTGGTTTGTGAACCAGAGTGAGTTTGTTATTCTAACCAACTACTGTTTGTGTGGTAAGAAGAGTTTTTGTATCCCTGGACTGATTTAACTGGCAAAGACTTGGATTGATTTAAAGGCTATGAGATTGTTTTTTCCCTATAAAGTAAGCTTTTGATAAACCAGTTTGCACATCTCTTATTCATTGCTCTCAGCAACGTTTCTCTGTGCTCTACACTCTGCTGGTTGGTAACACAATAATATCCTTAACAGAGGACACCTAAACCGATGGTCAGAATATTGCAGGCAGGTGAACCCCATCGCTGCTGGAACAGTACAGTTGGCAGATGCTTTCCTGCAAGCTGGTGAGGGGCAGAAGAAAGAGGGGCAGCAAAGCTGGAGGAAACAATTGTTTTCCTTATCATGCACTGCACGCGAAATCAGGACAGCTCCATTAGCAGTGGGTCAGAATAGACACACCAGAAGCAGGATAAGGATCAGCAATCAGGATAGACAATTTCATGGCCATATCGTTCTCTGTCAATTCAAGGATGGGTGGATAGCTCTTTCACACGGCAGTTGGGGAAGGCCCTTAGGCTGCATTAATTATCCTTCATGCTGAAGTCATCTTAATTAATAATCTTCCTTGTTTCTGTTCTTAGAGCTCATTAATTTCCTCCTGCCCCCTAAAGAAATAAACTTTTGTTTTGTAGAAGAGCTTTAATGTTTCCTATCTATCAACAAAGAACCCCATTCTCATATGGGGTCCTTGCTTCCATATCACTGTGACTGATTGTCCTGACGTGTTGAAGGAAGATTTTACTACTTGTGGAAAGTAGATTATGAGCTACTTAAACATTTGTTTGAATGGGAAATACTGGTTTATTTACAAAAAGCTGGATAGAATATCAACAACCCTCAGATACGCAGATGATACCATGTTTCCCCGAAAATAAGACCCTGTCTTATATTTTTTTGAACCCTGAAATAAGCTCTTGGCCTTATTGCCATGTGCTCAAAAGCCCAATTGGGCTTATTATCAGGGGATGTCTTATTTTGGGGAAAACAGGGTACCACTCTAATGGCAGAAAGTGAAGAGGAACTAAAGAGAACTAAAGAAGAGGGTGAAAGAGGAGAGTGCAAAAATTGTCTTGAAACTGAACATAAAAAAAAAATTAAGATCATGGCATCCTGTCCCACCGCATCCTGGCAAATAGAAGGGGAAGAAATGGAAGCAGTAACAGATGTTATGCTTTGGGTCTCCAAGATCATTGCAGAAGGCAGCTGCAGCCATGAAATTAAAAGATGCTTGCTCCTTG